GGGGGGGTTCTCTACATTGGGAAACGATCCAGGCGTCTCAGTGGACGCCCAAGCGTCTGTGGACCGATTGAAAGGTATGAATATAAGGGTCTCTTCATGCTATTTCGTTTGCAATAATCACAAATGTCTCTAGCGCACTCCTTCTATGAGAAAAAAATAAGAAAGGTGAAAAAACGCTTAAAAATGGGCTAAAATGTAAATAATAAAGCATTATCGTTGGAAAAAAAATACTTTCAAAGCTCCCACAAGATTTGTTTGATTATTGTACCTTAAACAAAAACCAGTTGTAGGACATTTGAACATATTTTATTCTCACGAAAATGCTACGTTTTTTACATTTTAGCCCATTTTGGCGCCTTTTTTTCTCTTTTCTTATTTTTTACTCAAAGAAGGAGTGCGCTAGAGACATTTTCGATAATTGCAAACGAAAGAGCATAAAGAGACCTTTATTTTCATGCCTTTAAATCTGTCCTCAGACGCTAGACGCTTGGGCGTCCACTGAGACGCCTGGATCGTTTCCCAATGTAAAGAAAAAACCCCAAATTCGCGACTCTAGTGAAGCCACGTATCTTCATTTTTTGGTGATTTTTGAAACCTATACCAATTGATAGAGAAAATTTTCCTTTATTCAAATATATAGTTCGTAAAATATCGTCAAAAAATGCGTTACGTGGTTTCACTAGAGTCGCGCAACGATTCTTGGTTTCTCGAGCGCCGCGCAACGATGCTTGGTTTCTCGAGCGTCGCGCAAAGATACTTGGTTTCTCTAGAGGCGCTGCGCCGTGCGTGCTTTGAGTTAGGGACGAGCGATTTGTTCTGCTCCCTGTCTGCTGACTGTATCCTCTGTTAAATCTAATCAGCCTCGCCTGTTCATTAAATAAACGTATGTCAGTGTCATTTGATAAATGCTACGCAGGAGGGGGCATTAACTCCCTTCTGATGTGTACACATGATTCCCGAAATAGTTGATTCCCATTGATTCCCGCCCGCTTATATTCATTCCTTGGGTTATCTAGTGGTAGAAAACGCTTATTTCGACTGATTTGTATCAGTTCCACTAGTTTCACGCTTGGTTCAATCGATTTCTGTTGATTTCGAATAATTTTTATACTGATGATTCCCAGGCAGGTGCACACATGATTCCCGGAGTTATTGCCCCCTCGGCTACGCATGTCTATGTCATCTGACTAGAACATGCGCATGTCACCAAAGGTGTCATCTGACAAAAGAACGCAAGTCATCGTCATGTGACAGAAGGTGCGCATGTCAGTGGTAATCTGAGCAAAAATGCGCATATCATATCTGACATACGTACTTTGGTCAGATGACAACTTCCTGTCAAAAGAGCGCATGTTACTCAATCTTCTAGACTGAAGCATTTAAGTCAGTATTTTTGTAAAAGTATTTGTAATCACCCAATTGGAAGGCACTTTTGGGTGTCATGTCCAGTAATCTTATTATAATTGATCTGTGGCACAAATTAACGTTGATCCTGTAAAATTTTGATTTTGTGACATGCGCTGCGCACTTGTGTCAAATGATGACAAGAGCATTGTTTCCCTTGGTGCGCGTGCTGTGCGACTGGACTGACCTTTTGTTCGTCGTCCCTGTCATCAAAGGTGCCATCGACTTCGTGGCTGTCAACGCCTACCTCGCCACGATAGTTGCGGACCGCAGGAAGGAAGACCCGAATAGAGGTGGCGGTGGCCGCGGCCCCGGGATGATCCCGATGAAGGGCGTTTGGACCGACGCCAACGTCACCACAGTTGTTCAAGACACCAGCAACATCTATGCCGAGGTGAACACTCGAGTGCCCACAATGCATTGTAAAAAAAAAATCGAGGGTGATTTTACACTCAAAAGGGACACGACGCGACGCTCCTTTACCGCACCAGGGCAAATCCATTTCTCGACCCCACCAATGGGTGTGTGAAATTCACTACCCAAGGGGTGCTTTTTGTTCTCGCGGTGTGGAAACAGCTTTTTCCTACCGATGAGGATGAAATAATTTTCCAACCCCTTTAGATAAAAAACATTACCATATGCGCTGAATACTACAAGGCTGCAAGGCGAACCCAGGAGGGTAAAAATATCCCCTTAAAGGTATCGAGCATTATATGCGAATGAAAAATTATGTTACGTTCTCTGTCTTTTGCATCCTTTGAGAGTGCTACCCATTGATTTCGGGTTGCCAGGGTTGTTTCAAAATCAGTATCCCTGAGACAAGTGGTGACGGGGCCGTACTAAACGAGGTGCCGTTGCGCGGACCTCCCGAGAGTTACAGTTTGACAGATAATTTCAGGATATGGTTGACTTTTTCGGCAAACACCGGCGCCGGCGATCGTTGTACGGTTACCTCTTGTAAAACACTGCACAAAACTAAATGTCCCATACAAAGGGAATTTTAATGTAAAAGGAAAATGCTGATTTTGTAGGACACACGCTGACCAAAAAGCCATCTAGCGGCAGTCTATCGCGGGCTCCGCGTCGAGGAAGCCAAGGGCAATGAAAAGAGTTGATTGTTGATTGGTTCTAGCTGGCGGGGTGGAGTCGGTGTAGTTGTAGTAGTGGTCTTAACCCATCTTTCCTTCCACGATGCTATGGCAGTCATGAATTTGTGGGACACTTGCAGCTGACGTGTTGCACGGGTAGATGTGCGGCTAGATGTTCCCCGACCATGTGTGGCTACCCATCACGTGCAGACTTGCAGGCAGTGGGCTGCGCAAGTACACTTTTCCGCTCACGATCACGGAACTCTCTCGTCGGGGTGGGGAAATTCGTAATCGGTGGGTGCCGGATACCGTGGACTCTCGCTAACCGCCGCCGCGACAGATATTGAGGGTACTGTGCGTTCGCTCCTGCCGTGTTCCACTTTCCCCACTCCTCCTGCAGGCGAGTCGGCCGAGCCACGGGAGCCGGCAGTCGGTCCGCATGAAAAGCGCTGTTTTTCTATAGCTATCTCTCTCGCACACAACAGTTATCGAGAGTCCACTGTTGACTCTTTCCTGCCCACTTTGGGAAATTTGCAGTCAATGATGTCAGTAAGTTCACTTGTGTATGCAGGAACGGATCCTTTCACAGCGCAATTGGCATCCAAAGGTTACTTTTCGATTGCAGTAGGCAAATCTCCAACCCATGTACTGCAAATTCCCAACCCATGTACAGGAAATTTACCCACCCAGTAGCTAGCTCACTCTAAGAAAACTTACAGATGTTTGTATAGTTTGTTATAGTTTTCTGTATCGGGGCACTGTGATACAGCAATTTGTATCAGTGATGCAAAATTTTGTGATAGTTTATTAATATTTGTTGGCTGAGCGATTAGCGAAGCCTATTACTCCAGTGATGATCAAAAAGTTTCGCGTCTGTCTGTGTGTGTGTGTGTGTGTCTGTTTGTCTGTCGTCACGATAACTCGAGAACAAATTGAGCTAGCGACTTGGGATTTTCAGGGTCGTTTTGTGTCATAAAAAGACAGATCGAGTTCGAAGATGAGCATTCTAGCTCAAAAATTGGATTTTTAAAAAATCAAAAACAACAGGTCCTAAAAATGGCGTTTTTTAAAAATATTTTTTTACAGTTTCCTAAGGGGTAACTCATCAAAGTAGAGCCCTTTGGGCGAAAATTTCGTCCGTTTGGCTCTATCTTTAACCATTTAGGCGCGACAGGGAGTTTTTGACGGAAATAAGCGAAAAAATGTACAACCCTGCATTCTTAGTCGAAGTGACGGGAAGTTGACGGGCCGAAGGCCGTATCTTTGTGTACATTTCTGCGCTTCCAGACTCGGGTGTCAGCGCCGCAGGCCTAGGT